TCCCTGAGTGCCGGTGCCTCGAGGAACCTGGGTAACACGACAACGAAGAGAGAGAGAGAGAGAGAGAGCGCGCCGCGTAACGCGTGAGGCCAATACTTATTCTCATACTCCGCTGGCTCAGTGACCCGAAATGAATCTTGGCCTCCAAAACGAGCCTTCGCCACTGATCCCTGTCCTGCGCGATCTTCTGCCAATTTTGACTTGGAGATCGCGCAGGCCAGTGTCCATATTCTCATACAAATACGGTATACCGGGAGTAACGGGAAGGGTATAACAAGCCGAAAGAAGGTCAAGGTACACATGAAACTGAACAACTTTCCCAATGAAAAATGGGTCGAAATATGAACAAAAAATTTGAACCTCCCATAGTAAATTAATCTCCCATAGTCAATAATTTTTTTTCATATTTCGACCCATATTGCATAGAGAAAATTGTTACGTTTCATGAGTACCTTGGCCTCCTTTCGGCTTGTTATGCCCTTTCTAATACTCCCGGAATATCAAACTGTTTGCCAGATGCATCCGTCGACGCAGCGTTGTACGATACGCAGCGCTAAGAGATGCGCCTGTCAAACCGTTTGACATAAACCGTATTTGAATCAAAATAGGGGAGAATGCCGCATTTTCCTGGCGAATGCGTTTCGCAGCGCTAACATAGCGCAGCAACGGACGTTACTTGTGATTTCCACCTAAACTCGAAAACATGCAGCGCTGGTTTTTACGTGTTTTTCACTGAAACCACGTTTTCGCAAAGTTTTTCAATTAAGGAATATTAATAAAGTTATTACTTTCGCTTGTATCTACTTAGGTACCTAAACAACATACGGATGATAAATTACTACCTAATTGCGCAAATTAGGTAAACGGTGCGCGGGGCGCCTATACAGATGGCTCAATCAGTACTAGCGACGATTTTGACGCTTACTAACTTTAACTGGAAGTAACCGGAATATCAGGGGAATTATAAGAAGTTGGTAACCACAAACGTCATACTTATTTCTCTGTTTAAAATTGGCTCAGAATCATTGACTTTTTGTATCGGGTTTTAGGGTGAGAATCCACCAGAGCTGTGCGAGTAAAATGTGTCGTACGAGGATGCGTAGCTGTGCTGTGGAAATGTGTAGGGGTTTCCACCAGAGCTGTGCGAGTAAAATGTGTCGTACGAGGATGCGTAGCGGAGCTGTCAAAATGCGCATTAATGTGCGGAGCGAGGATGCGTTGCGAAGCTGTGAAACGTGTGAGCGGGGGGGAATGCGATGTAGTGGAAATCTCGCAGCACATTTCTCGGAACGCATTCCTCGCAACACATTCCTCGCTACACATTCCTCGCAACACATCCCTCGCACACATTTCTCGCTTGATTTGTATGTAGAATGGCCTCGCTTCGCTCAACCCTATTCGACCAGAGCTGAGCTGAGCGAGGCTAGGAAAATGAAGTGATTCTATTGGTGGATTTTTTCCTCGCACACCGCTTAGGTACCTCGCACAGCTCTGGTGGATTCTCACCCTTACTGTTTTAAAATTGTCTAATTATTTGAGAATGTTGACAGTAGCAATTCTGGCTATGTAACAAATGACAATCGCAAAATCCTGAATAGAGTCGAGTACACCTTCTGTAAACTCTCTATTTTGCGCTCATTGTAAGAGTTTGGATCCAGACACCTACTTAATAAATTATATTCAAATGGTGTTCCAACAAATAATTTATTGTTGATTGTTAATTAAGTTAATTAGAACAACATACAATCAATTAGAGCAGTAACCAATGTTTGAATACTTCTAAATTAAAAGCTTGTTTCTATCATCGCAGTGCTTATGTGATATGTAAATGAAATATACCATCGCAAATCCGGAGAAGTCAAATGTTGGAAAAGGATTGTGCCAGAAAGATATTTCTAGCTAGATTGAGCATACAGCGAGCACGCCAGTCGGCAGAAAGCGAGTTGGCGAATCGCGCCGGTTTGCAAAACGAGCAAGTTGGCTTACCGCGCGTACTCCGTTAAATTTACTCAAGTACTTGTAAGGGGGTGTATGGGTGTGTACTACACTACACTCTACACACAAAACTAAACTACTTTCATCAGAAACTTTTGAATAAAATATGAAAAAATAAAAATCTCCGAAACAAAAATGTTTAAAAAAGTGAGTCACTTAGTATGGGAGATATAAATTCTTTTTTAAGTTAAAAAAAGTTTATTTTAAGTTTTTTGAGTAGAACACCCTTGAAAATTCATACTAACTCACAATGCTAAGTTATTCTTATAAATTGAAAATAAGAAATTTGAAAATTACATTAGCAATCGCCTGGATATGAACCCGGGACATCTTGTTTGAAATCCACTCATAATGTGGACCAACTAAAGTATTTAGCTTATTCCTCGCTTTCGAGACGAGCATCAAGAGGTTGGGAAATTCATCAGAGTCCACCAGTCGCCCGAAGCTCAGTGGGACGGTCTTCTTCTTTTCGTGTGGGACACCGAGTCGTTCAACGACCCGATGAACCCTGGTGTCAGAGATTTTCAACCGCCTACTGCAAGTAGCAGGCCTCTGAAATGGTTGTGTAACGACCGCCATCATAGACAGCAACCGGGACCGACGGCTTAACGTGCCCATCCGAAGCACGGAACCATCTTACTTGCGGACAATCAGGTGGTTCAGCCTGCAATGTCCTAACCAGACTGGGAACACATTCACAAAGTGATAAATATCAACTTTGTGAGTGACCCCACCGGGAATTGAACCCGGAACCTTTGCGTGGCAGGCAGGCATACTAACCACTGCGCCACATCGGCTGTCAAAAGTGGGACGGTAGCCCACGGTGATAGGTTCAAGTCCTTTCATGAATTTTAAAATTTCTCATTTTCAATAAATGTAACCTTATATTCAGGCTAGAGAAAAGGCCATATTTAATAGAAGCTGAAAGCTTATACTTTTAGCGTTCGGAAAATTCTCAAAGCATGTCATGATGACTGAACGAACTTTGTAAAGAGATTACTACCTACAAGAATTCTGTAATCAGTGCCTGAAAATATATCTACCTGCGAAAGTTCACTCATCTTGTTAGGGGCGTCTAGACAATCAATTATGGGTATTATTGAAAATAGAAAATAATATTTCTGAAAACCTTTTATTGATAATTTATAAAAAGTGCCTAAAGAGTTTATTTGAATAAACAATAGAAAGGTCTAAACAAAAATGTATTGCATATTTTTTGAAATAAAATATTTACTACATAATAGAGAGTACTGATAGACAGTGTTTTTATCCTACTTCCTACTAATATTATAAAGGCGGATGTTTGTGTGTGTGTTTGTTACGACATCACGCAAAAACGGCTGATTAGATTGACATGAAACTTTGCAGAAATATAAAAGGGCATCTGGAATAACACATAGGCTACTTTTTACCCCAGGAAAAGGTCTCATTTCTACGGAATCACGCATATTCCAAAATTTTTGACGTAGGTGGCGTGACTGAGCCGATTCGCGTCTTTGTGGGGAAGCATATCCGTTAATTCAACAGTCATCTTAAAGTCATGGTAGCTGCGGCGATAGTGCGCTTGCCTACCAAACAAGGTGACTCGCGTTCGAATCCGGATAGTGTTCTCCATATTTTTGTTTTTATTTTTTCGAACTTTTATTTTAGTTAAGTTTTGTCTTACATCATCTTCCTGCCCTTATCCCAATTGCTTGGGGTCGGCGCAACACGTTTTGCTAAACACAAAATCGTGCTGCAATGGATTCGGCTTAATTTTACGACCGGCCGCCTAACAGACGTCAACCCTCATTGGGAATGCTTTTGTGGTGGATTAACCGCCACCATACGGTTGGCCTGGCTGTTTGTCGGGTTTATCCTCGGTCGCCTCTTACGACTCCCACGGGAAGAGAGGGGGTGGTGCTATTCTACTCTGCCGGCACCACACGGCGTTAAGTTTTGTCTTACGATATTGGAAAATCTTACACACTGGTCTTGCTATACTTCCTACGTGTGTGTTTGTTACGACTTCACGCAAAAACGGCTGATTAGATTGACATGAAACTTTGCAGAAATATAAAAGGGCATCTGGAATAGCATATACCTACTTTTTACCACGGAAAAATGTCTCATTCCCACGGGATCACGCATTTTCCAATATTTATGAAAAAGGTGGCCCGACTGAGCCGATTCGCGTTTTAGAAACTAACAGCGTCATCTCTTGGCGAGTAAGTAAGGCAAAATTGATGTATATCCCACAACACATGTACGTACAAAAATTACTTGCCAATGAAAATGTTTTAACAAGATTTTGAATCCCACAAATTCTACTTCCTACTAATCCTATCCTACTAATATTATAAAGGCGGATGTTTGTGTGTGTGTGTTTGTTACGACATCACGCTAAAACGGCTGATGAGATTGACATGAAATTTTGCACAAATATAGAAGACTATCTGGAATAACACATGGGCTACTTTTTACCACGTCTTATTCCTACGGGATCACGCATATTCCGATATTTTTGCAAAGGTGGCGTGACTGAGCCGATCGCGTTTTAAACGTTTTCGCCGAAAACTAACAGCGACATCTCTTGGCGAGTAATACTTTCTTCCCGCGTAATAATAGGTTGCAGAGCGGGTGAAACCGCTGACGGGCAGCTAGTAACCTCATAAAATATTAAGAGTTCTCTCGATTTGCACAGAATTCCATCACATTACATTATTATGGAAAATATCTTAATGTCCAAATATACATCTAGGTAAACCTGTTAAGAAATATCGGAATTTGTAATTTTCCTGCATAATATTAAACAACTTTGACATTTTGATATTTTTTTACTTTAACAGTATCAACCATGGCTATTTAACAAGCGACAATTACGACAATCCTAAATAGGGCCGAGTGATCCTTCTATTAACTCTCTATTTTGTGCTAGCAAGTTGATAACGAAAACAAAATATGAACTGAACCCGTCCAGTAACGTTGAAATATCCTAATCTCATGGTCAATTCTGACAGCCGATGTGGCGCAAAGGTACTAACTGCAACTGCCTGCGACGCAGAAGGTTCCGGGTTCGATTCCCGGTGGGTCACTTCACAAAGTTGATATTTATCACTTTTTGAATATGTTCCCAGTCTGATTAGGACATTGCAAAGCAAGATGGTTCCGTGCTTGGGAGGGCATGTTAATGATTGCTTAGGTGGTGGTAGTAGGCGGTTGAAAAACTCTGACACCAAGAGGATTATTTGGATCGTTGGACGACTCGGTGTCCCACTCGAAAAGAAGAAGAAATGGCAAATATTGGGGTCAACCCTAATCCCCTAGAAAAAGTTATTTCACTGAGAGCAGACCTATTACTCTTTACGAGGTCCTGCATAATTACAAAATGAAAACTTCTAATATGCGGTCTAATGGCAAATCTCTTTAAAAGTTCTGTTTTTGTTATATAAATGATAAGAGATTATGAATTACTTTTACCCGCCTTTGAAGGAGGACTACGTTTTTTACCCGACTGCCTCAGAAGGAGGGTTATGTTTTTCGAGAGTATGTATTGTTAGACTGAAAATCGACAAGCTATGATCAGCACTAATCTCGACAACTGAGTGGGTCCCAGCCCTGGGGCTCTCTCTCTTGGACGCTATCGGTCGACGCGCGCGGACCATTGTTTACGTTATGAGCGATCCAAAATTATTAATTAAAGGTATTTATTCCGAAGAACTCTTGTGTTTAATTTAGAGCCAATAGTTTCAGAATCGGGATGCAAACACGCCTGCAATTAATTTGTGAGTGAAAACAAAAAAAAAATGTGATAAAACTTATCCGTTATCGCGTAGCAACTAGCATTCAAGTGTACCAGTGCTCGGTATGGTACGAGGAACTCCTTATCTTAGATGGTGTTAAATTTCGTTCCCGAATTCTTTGTCCTTTGTCTTACAGTATGACTATCTAAACTCGGAAACGTGTGGTGACGGTGATTGAACATATTGGAACAGTGAAATAAGTTAATTTTATATTATTTCATATTTCATTCGGACACAGAATTTAATAGTATTTGGAGTACAAAAACTTTTTTTTGTTATGGTGACTTGTTGGTGTTCATTGTGGCGTTAGTGGTATACATACTCTGAACTTTTGCCTTGGGTGGTCACACGGCGAGGACACACGTGTATCGTATCGGGTGTCGATGGGTCGCTAAGCCCGAGGCGTAAGAGTGTACCTACTTGCGCATTCCTCTTAGAACAAAGGATCTGAAAAAGTTTGTACTGGACAATTGGTGAGCTGTATCGAATATTTCTTTGATAATTGTGATCCTTGTTGTTGATGAAACAATTGAGTGCTGTGAACTTTACTAAAGATAAACTTTGTTGAGTTTTGGTTTTAGAACCGAACTTTTAGTTTTATAAGAATATTTCATTAGGTTTAGTTTCTAAGTGGACGTGATTAGATTTGAAATTGTTTACGTATTAGAGTTTTAGAACTGAACTTCTGGTTCCATAAATAGTTTTACAAGGAAACTTTAACTTTACTATTTAATTTGAATTGTTTTATCCTTGTGCGAAGTGTAAGACAAAACTTTTTAACAGACAATTTCTAAAATAGAACTTTAGCGTAGTGTTCTAATATTGTTAAATTTCATATAAAGACCCTATCTCAATTATAATCATGGGTCGGCATAGGAAGAGACATAGGTCTCCTAGTACTTCCTCTTCAAGCTCAAGTGATGTTGAAAAGACTAAAACCAAAAAGTATAAGAAGAATTTAAAGGAGAAAAACAACAGAATAGAAGCCTTAGAGGGGCTCCTAAAAGAACTGAGAAAGACAACTAATTATCATGCCGGAAGCGCACCCCAGCAATCTGTGGTACGCTACATGGGTCGCAATGATTTCATTCCTGTATTTGACCCGCAGACCTCTCCGGTCTCTGTTGAACATTGGATCCGGAACCTGGAAGGGATTGCCAATATGCATGGTTGGGATGAACGCACATTAATATGTAACTGCACATCTAAACTTGGTGGCTATGCTAAGAGCTGGTATGAGCATCAAGTGACTTTTGATATGAGTTGGGCTGAGTGGAAGGAAAAATTGGTCAGAGCGTTTCCTTTCACCAAAAATAAACTCACCCAGATAAGGAAATGGTAAACCGGGTCAGGAAGCCGAACGAAGACCCAATTGAATTTTACTACACTAAACTTGGAATTGGTATGTCATGCCAGTTAAGTAATGAAATAATTACAGAGGCTATCATTGGCACACTTGGCAATCAGCTATTGGAGATCGGTGCTAAATCAGCTGGGTGCGGGATACCATTCTTTGCTTCAGTACTTGGCAAGTATCAATACCTCAGCTGCTGCCAGTAAAGGTCAAGACAAGTCGGAAAATCAGTTGAAAAATGAACGTGGACCGGACAGGGTGGCAAGGTGTTTCACTTGTGGCAAACCTGGTCACAGAGCAAGCAGGTGCCGCGTCAGTAAGGATAACTCTAAACTACATAAAGACAAGGGCAACCAAAATGCACATTTTGTGGAAGGCCAGGCCATGTTGAAGCAGATTGTTTTAAAAAGAAGAATAAAAGCAAACATTGTTCATTCTGTAATATTGATGGTCACACATTGGATGAGTGTAGGAAGAGGTCAAGAACGGGTCCACAAAATCGTTTGGTACGCAAGGTACAAACTATTTGCTATGATGCATCAGACAAGAAATATTTCAAGGAGGTGCTTGTCAATGGAGTTTCTTCTAATGGATATATAGATTTTGGTAGCACATGTAACACCATGAGACAGAGCTTCCGTGAGATGCAGAACTTGGAACTGATGCCCAACGATAACACTGTTATAAAGGGGTATGGAGATGGATTAACAATACCATTGGGAATTGTTTCAACTTCTCTTGTAATTGATGGTGTGGAGAAGGTGAATAAACTATATGTTGTACCAGATGACCTGCAAGAAGTTGACGTTCTCATTGGGCAGCCTTTCACCGAATCACCAAACTTGGTTATTGTTAAAACTTCAACGGAGCTTAACATGTATGAAGATGAAATGGCAATTCAAGTGACCGAGTTGTGTGAATCTTTTGACAAGATACGGTTGTACCCACAAAATGATACAAAACTCACTCCTGGATTAAACAAAGTATTAGTGAGACCAGATCCTGTTGTTGACGGTATTATAAATATTAAGTTGAGCGAACAAAGAAAACCATTATGTGAGAAGGATGTTATAGAAGACAGTGTTGAATTACATGATGGTCAGGCTTTTATAAAACTTATCAACAGGACGAACAAAATTCTAGAATTAAAAGAACAAGACTGTGTTGCCAGAGCAGAGCTGAAAGACAAATACTGTGATGATAATATTAAGATGGGTGATCATTTAAATGGAGACCAAAAGGCTTCCTTGGACGAACTGCTAACCAAATATGAGCACTGCTTTTCTGGTGATGGTATGGAACTGGGCAATTGTAAGATAGAAATGGTTATAGAACTGACTGATGATAAAGTTATAAATTACAGACCGTACAGAGTTTCTTACCATGAAAAAGAAATCATACGGAAAATGGTGGCGGACTTAATGGATGCTGGTATTATAGAAAAATCTACATCTCCATATGCTAGTCCTGTGTTACTGGTGCGAAAGAAAGATGGTGGTTACCGCATGTGCGTGGATTACAGGGCACTTAACAAAATAACCAAAAAAAAAAGGTATCCCTTGCCTGTCATACAAGACTTGTTGGACAGACTCGTGGACAAAACTGTATTCTGTACTCTTGATCTGGCTAATGGATACCACCAGATTAGAATTGAAGAATCATCCAGACCTTTTACTGCCTTCGTCACACCCGAAGGACACTACCAATATAAGATGATGAGTTTCGGACTTTGTAACGCACCAGCAGTATTTCAAAGAGCAATGACTGAAATACTTGCCCCTGTGATACATGAGTGTGCCGAGGTGTATATTGATGATGTGATTGTGTGGGGCAAAGATGTTGAAGACTGTTTGAGCAACCTCAGAAAAGTTTTAGGGCTGATAGATGATGCAGGTGTTAAACTTAAGCGTAGTAAATGCTCATTCCTCACAAACAGTGTTGAATACTTAGGTCACGAAATATCAGGTGGTGAGATAAGACCTTCACCTCACAAAATCATCGCGGTTTCCAATTTTAAGACACCTACGAATGTCCACGAGTTGCGGCAGTTTCTCGGACTCGCCAGTTACTTCCGAAAATTTATCAGGAACTTCGCGAGTATTGCACGACCACTTACTCTACTCACGAAAAAGTCCGTGGAGTGGCGCTGGGAACCTGAACAAGATCAAGCCGTAAGCTACCTGAAGGATATTCTAACCTCCGACCCAGTGCTGGCAATTTATCACCCGGACAGAGAAACCCAAGTTCACACCGACGCATCGAAAGCTGGGCTCGGTGGTGTACTCCTTCAACGGCAGCCGAATGGTGAGATGAAAGTAGTCGCTTACGCTAGCCGACAGACATCAGAAACAGAGCAAAGGTACCACAGTTTCGAATTGGAAGCTCTTGCTGTGGTGTTTGCTGTCAATCGTTTCCGAGTATATCTTTCTGGTGTTAAGTTTCGAGTCGTGACTGATTGCTCTGCCTTACGGATGGCTTGGTTGAAAAGAGACTTGTCACCACGGATTGCCCGTTGGTGGCTTGATCTACAAGAGTACAATTTTGAGGTTGACCATCGACCAGGGACTTCTATGGCGCATGTAGATGCCTTGAGTAGAAATCCTGTGATAGTAAACCACATACAAGAAAAGGATTTAATTGATGCGCTACAGGATGATGACAAAGAAATTCAAGCATTGATGTTGAATCTGAAGCTAGAACAAGAGGCCATCAAGAAAAGAAGAACGGACTAACGAAAGACTATAAAGTCGTAGACGGCCGGTTATATCGTGTGATAGAGAATGGGTTGAGACCAGTTCTCCCTAAGAGTGCGAGATTCCATATAATGAAGATATATCACGATGAGCATGGGCATCTAGGAACTGAAAAATGTCTAGAGGAAATACGAGCTAAATATTGGTTTCCGAAGATGAGAAAATACGTGACAAAATATGTGGCA